GGGGGGGGCAGGGTTTTCGGCAATCCAGCGAAGACGTTGTCAGTGAGTGATGTCCATTTCGAATAAACCAGTACAACTTGAGGGCCTGGCAGTCAGGTAGCTGGGCAGACGGATAAACACACCGTCAGGGAAATTTGGCATTCTAGCCAAAATACACCAGAAATCCACTTTAGATGTCGCATGCGACCAGAAATAGGCGTCCACAGTTTGGTCAGATAACATGGGTTTAATCAAGCAGAGATCTGCAAGCATGGGAATCACAGTCTAGGCGCTCTGCTCAGTGAAGCGACAGTTTACGTGCTTCTATGGCCTTGACAGATAGCGCATGGAGTGAAATGCCCACTGGGGCTGGAACCGAGTGAAATCGGTCAACCAGAAAGAGAAGGAACGGATCTACGAAACCATGAGGGGATCTGGATTGTAGGCCAGAGTCGGATCAGCCCATCGAAAGAGAGGGGTCGGGGTGAATAGCGGGTGTGATGAAGCCACACTATATTTGCCACAAAAGAACACACATTTTGTCGAGTAGAGTGCAAACAGGTGAGAAGTTGTGATGGGGCAGCAGTGGGATTAGAGAGTAAAGAGTAGATAGATAGACAATGACAGAAAGAGCAGTGATAATGTAACTGTTTTCGAGGGATTGACTTCACTTGACTCTTTGACGAGTTCGTAGGTTGGTGCAGATAATGACAAAACTGACTGATGATGCCGACTACGATGCCGGCGAAACGTTTGAGAATGTACCAGCCCACTGTCTGATGTTGGGAATCATGACAACTACTAGGCCAGACGACTTGGGACTAGGTGTGTTCTACTAAGTCGCCCTGACAACAAGACCAAGTTGCGACAAAGAGGTCAACCCACTTTTATGGGAATCAGGGCCTATGCGCTCTGAAGATGAGGCGACTTTTTAAATGCTACTGAAGAATTGATAAATAATATTTGGAGCAAAATTAGGCTGGGGTTGGTGCTGGAACCGAGTGAAATCGGTCAACCCGAAAGCGAATAATCGGACCCAGGGGCCCATGAGGCAGGTCCGGACGGGAGGCTCGAGTCAGATCAGACACTCGATAGGGTGGGGAGCAAGGTGAACAGCGGGTGTGATGACGCCGGAGTAAATTCACCAAAAGGACACATCTCTTGTGGAATACAAACATGTGAGAGTTGTGATAGAGCGAGAGCGAGACTGGAGCGTAGGAAATGGATAGAGGAACCGGGACAGGAAGTTGGTCAAGGGATTGACTTCGCTTGTCTCGTTGACGAGTCGTCGCTTGGTTGCTGAGGCTGGCAAGACGCACTGACGATGCCGGCGAAATGTGTGTGAATGTAACAAGTTCACGGTCCGATTCTGGATACGATCATGCATACAATGGACCCCGGACAGGACGTGTTCCTCTCGGTCTTCCTGCCAATATGACCAATTTGCGAAAGGAAACCGCGACCATACAATAGGCCACCTCATCTTGATTTTCATACCTTCGACAATCCTAATTTGAATTGCACACATTGACCTGATTAAATATAATCTAAACACCATTTCCAGTCCTCTAAGATTTCAATTATGTCTTTTTGGGCTTCATACAGCAATACTTTTACATGCAAATGAGACGACGTTTGTATCAAAATGAAATGTCAATCTTTTGCAGAAACTTGAGTGCAAATGCTGAATCTTATTTTGTTTTCTATAAAGCCCATGGTAGGACGAGATTAGTTTGTAGTCATCACTAAAGAGGCATTAATTGCTACAAACTCGAATAGCAAATATTCTAAAAGAGTAGAATCTCTATACTATCAATGGATCTTGAATAGGAGCTTTTGTTGCTTAAGATGAAGAATTGATAGCTAATTTGTATCCAGGCCTCATCACCCAAATCGGAAATAGAACCAATGTTTTGTTATAGCAGCGTATTATTTTGCAATGTTACCAAGCCAGACGGTCACCGAGCATAAGTGAACTTCAAAGCAAACTGGGCCTACACTAAATTACACTTTTATGTTATAAATGTAGCTGAATCAAAAATTTACTTCCAATTTCGGTCGAAAACTTTAATTGTATTTAAAATAAGTAGAATTTCGAGACTGTCATTAGATCTTGAGCAATAGCTTTGGTCACTCTTGGTCGCTTAAATAGATGAATGGTGAGTAGAGAATTTTTTTCACAATAAGATGAATACACCTCAAGATACCACTGAAGGTCACATAGCCTTGCCCTTAAAAGACACCCTCGTTCAGGATGGATCACGATCTTGACCTCACCTGGCTCCCATCACCACCCCTAGCCGGAATGGAACTGGGATTGCGATAGAGCAGCACATAATATTGGCGGGTTACCATGACGCCACACTTCCACGAGGGCCAATCGACAGCGTAGCTTAGAGGCAAAATGTCGATATTCTACGCTACCATACCCAAAATCAGAGTTCGATTTTAGTCAAAAGGGCTGATAAGACTGAGGCAAGTTCGAAACTTCAGTCCAGTTCAGTTCAGAAGAGAATAGCTTTTGAAAGCAAGACTACGCAAAGATAAAATGCATCATGAGGCCTACTCAAATAAATGTGGAAAAATTCAATTATTCGTCCGTTATCACTAAAGTTCGTATTGAAAAGCTTATTCTAAGTTTGGCCGTATGGAATTTATAGCAAAATTCCTTGCAAGTCTTCTTACAGTGTACATTCAAATGCCACTGTTGGGAAGAGTGAATATCATAGTTGCCTTATTCACGATGATATAACTTTAAGAAATCAAATCCCACCAAAGTCATAAGGCTTGTGATAATATTTTCCATTCTTGTCTATTCTTTTCGTTTATGACTGACAGATTTCTTAGTTATATGAGTTATATGATGAGCTTTATACATATAAGGATACCTAAGTAGCATAGGGTGAACTTTGGGCCCTATCAATATTAATCACAAATCCAACGTCGCTATTAATCTTCTTCATACTGCAAATCTGTTTTACAAATTGTATAGCATAGGCTGTACAGAAAAATAGCACAAACAAGTAAGCAGACGATTATTTTCGCATCAATTGGCACGCAGCACGGAGTAAAGATTGTGCAAATAAAAGAAACTGTCATTTTTACTCTGTTGGGTAGTCATGCTTTTCACATCATGGTGGGGTTTAACACGAGATGGTTGTCAAGTCGAGGTGGGGAGTACTGGTTTCCGAACTCGGCCCTGACAGGCTCCGTGGTTGAGTATCACAAAGTTCATTCCACTCTTGTCGGATAGGGTTATTTATCAGGTCTGATCGGATAGACCAACTTCCCATAGCATAACCACGTCAAAAAGTTATCACACTTTTGCCAGGCAAAGACATAGTAACAGCAACGCTGCTTTTGTGGTTATTTTTCTCGAAAACCTCTTCTGGTAACTTTTTGATCAATAGTAGATCGTCCTGCTTCAGAGAGTATTGATTCTTTTCACAAAAAGTATAAGAATCTTTACATTCTCTCACTTTTCAGAAATATCACATTTTTCCACTTCGACTGGTGATGTTAACTTCGAATAATCAAAGATGGTGTAACCTTTAGTATACGACCAAGCGGCGAAAACAAGTTCAAACAACTCGTCGACAAATCAAGTCGCAAAGTGCATCTCTTGAGGTCAGAGGAAATATTAATTATTAGTTAATCAGTTTAATGTCATTAAAATAAAATCCAGAGAAGATGAGATGACTTTTACCCTCATGCAATCATGAATGAGCCGGTGGCGAACGTTTGAGGGTCACCAAAGTCAGATCCTAGCCCTCTTTTTTAGATTTAATCTTAACAAAATTGGAGTGATTTAAGTGTTCATGAAATACTTTACTGGAAGAAGCATAGTCAAAGCTGTTGACCGAATTTCGCATAAATGTCAAGATAATGTTTGCGAATAAAAGTTGGTTTTCGAGTAATCTCTTGTTTCATAATTGTTGAGCTTACTTCCATTTTGAGTAAAAGTGTTGGGTGACGAGATTCGAAGGTCGCTTCCACCAGAAGACGACGGCCAGCTGTCGATTGGTTTTACTGGAACTTTTCTTGACTCTTTAGCTTGAATTTTGTTGTGACGATGATACCTTATTTTGATGAGGTCCGTCATATGACGGACGAAAGCTTAGCACCTTTTCACCGGAATCGAGGAAGATTGCCTTGGAAACAGCGTCAGCATGAATGTTCCAGTTAAGCCAATCGGCAGCTGGTCAAGGTGAATCGGCCGTTGTCTTCTGGTGGAAGGGAAATTCGAATCTCTTCACTCAACACTTCCACTCGAAATGGAAGTAAGCTCAACAATTATGAAAGAAGAGATGCCTCGAAACCCAACTTTTCTTCGCAAACATTATCTTGAAATTAATGCTGAATCCGGTCAACAGCTTTTACTATTGGTAGGAAGACTTAAAGAAACGCACCTAGTCCGGAGTCCATTGTATGCATCATCGTTTCCAGAGT